ACGTCCTTCTTTCAGTTTTGTTTCATGTGCTGTTGCTCGTCCTTGTCTTTAGGTTACAGACAATCTGTACTAGGTGTGGTCAGTGTGTGAGTTCGGTTTCACTCCTGCCACCCAGCAACACTCAGATCAGGTGTTTTCAGCCAGAATGAAACGTTTGGCACTTTCCAATTTTCCTCCATAAAAGTTTTGTGATATTAAAGGAAATTTGTCTCCTTAATATTTATAATTTTATGCTCTTGTTCAGATGCAGATGAGTTATATAACAGGTTATCAAAAGAAACACGTAACAGGAAATTCCCGTCCAGTCAGATTCCTGCTGTATTTGCAAATGTTTCCGTTGTTCTGCTGCAGACTGACTTTCGCTTGGACCAGTGAAAGTTTACGGGAATTTGGCTGATATATTTCCCATATACTGAGCTCCTGCTGTGGCTCTAAGGCTTCTGCTAACTTTGCATTTATGTAAAGCTGCAGATGCTGAAAATGACGGCCTGAATCTATTATTACACTAAATTGGCTTCTCTCAAAATATAAAAGAGCCCATCAGTGTCTTTAGTCACACATTTGCTAGCATAGATAGCATAGAAACTGAACATTAAACAGTCTTCTTTTGTCTTTTCATTACGTAAATTTACGATAATGGATTATACAGCTGTGGGGTATACAGTTCATTACAGCAGACGTCTTTCTGAAAGTGCTGTAACTAATAACCCTTTCCCACTACCACCTACTCGAGTCGGCTCTGCACACCTCGACTCCTTTTTGGGGTTTTCTATTAGGTGGTGGTGCCTGGTACCTACTGTTAGTACCTACTCGGCTGGGGATCCAGGTGATACGAAAATGTGACGTCACCAGACGGCATGTCACCGATTGGCTAGTCAGTGGTGTCACTCGATGAGTCTTCAGAGCTTCTCCTTTGCAAAAATCTAAACCGCCATTTTGAAACCTGGCAACGAGGGAAATGTGTACAGAAAAAAACAACACTGTGGCCCCGAGTCTGACACAAAGGCCCAGACTGAGCAGCAGGTTTACCATCACCTCAACGTGCTGTTGTGGCGTTCATGTCGCACAGGAATTACATCAACATGACCGGAACCGAGTTAAGTCAAGTTGAGCCAAGTAGGTACGTACTAGTGAAAAAGATCTATAAGTTTAATTCAGATCAAACTGAGGTTATTGTACTCGGCCCTGAAAAGCTTAGAAATATGGTATCTAAGCAGATTCTTACTCTGGATGGCATTACCTTGGCCTCCAGTAATGCTGTGAGGAACCTTGGAGTCATGTTTGACCAGGACATGTCCTTCAACGCACATATTAAACAAATATGTAAGACTGGCTGGACGACTGTAATTCATTATTATCAGGAAGTCCTAAAAACTCCCTGAAAAACCTTCAGCTGATCCAAAATGCTGCAGCAAGAGTCCTGACAGGGACTAGAAAGAGATTTCTCCTGTTTTGGCTTCCCTTCATTGGCTGCTCCTCACATACAACCTGATGTATCAATCTCACCTGATGAATTATGTAATCAACTAAACTTCCCTTCAAGGTGGTCTAGGTGAGGAAGACCAATGTAACCTGGAACAAAGAAAGGGTGGAAAGGGAATAAATAACTCACCTGTGTTTCACTCTGCTCTGTTTAAAAAAAAAATCCTTCTTTCAGTTTTGTTTCACGTGCTGTTATTAAGTCACTTTAGGACCACACCCAGTAAATATTGACTTAACAACAGCACGTGAAACAAAACTGAAAGAAGGATGTCTCAGAGTGGTTTGAAATGAAGTTTATTAAACTGGAGTTCAAAAATGGATTTACAAGTGCAGAATTTATTCTACAAATTATTATTTAAGCACAGAATTCTTTATTTTGATGCGCGTGGCTCTTGTGGTCCTGCAT